AGAAATGCAGGGATGGTTTTTGTTTTATACAATTCCGCTTTGAATAAAATATGATTTTTTTTTTTCAAATTGCATTTGGTGGCTTTTGAAACAAACACCTGAAATTAGCTATTTACAAAATTCCAAACCAACTTTATTGGAATTTATCGTGTTATGACTCCACCATCCCCACAACCACATTTTTTTTTTAAAACATTTTAATTGCATTTTTTTTAAATGGGTACAAAATAAGCTGTTTTACATTTCAATCAAGTCTTTTTAATTCCATCATCACATCGCTCATGATGCGGGAGTATGTACAAGGGAAAGGGGAAGACGTGTGTCATGTGATCTGATGCGGGGCTTCCAGCATCTCCATCAAAAAGGTGTCAATAGGCGTGTCCCCAATTAGCTTGAAGAAGAACAGATGCTCCAAACATTTGAGGCCGATGGAGCGCAGGGCAGGCAGGCGCAGCAGCAGTTTGGCAAACCTGAGAATAATAAAAAGTCGTGCCAAATAGTGAGGCATGAACAACTGAGCTTAAAACTCACTTCCACATATGTTCAAAGTTGTTTAAAAAAAAAAAAAGAGGCATATTTTACACACACTCACTAGCCACTTTGTTTGATACACCTGTTCACCTGCTTTGTAGTGCAAATATCTAATCAGCCAATCACATGGCAGCAACTCTGCATTTAGGCATGTAGACATGATCAAGATGACCTGCTGAAGTTCAGGATGAAAGGTGACAATCATCTCTACGGTTTGCAAAGAATAGTCCAAAAAAGAAAATATATGCATGGGAGCATCTCTGAATGCACAACCTACAGATGACCTACAGCAGCAACAAGACCACACCGGGTCACCTGCTAAAGGACAGAGCGCCACCTAAATTGAACCACAGAGGAATGGACAAACAATGTCTCATTTGATAAGTCACAATTTTTACTGTGACGTTAGAATAATAGAGTCAGAATTTAGTGCAAACACCATGAAAACATGGATGCATTCTGCCCTGTGTACAATTCAGGCTGCTGTTGGTGGTAGTGTGTGTGTGTGTGTGTGGGAGATATTTTCTTGGCACATTTTGGGCTCCAGCTGAGCATCGCTTTAAACATCACTGCTTATCTGAACATTGGTGCTGAGTATATCATTATTGAGTGTTCCCATTTTCCGATAGCTTTTTCCAGCAGGATAAAACACCATAGTCACCGGATCTCAATCCAATAGAGCACCTTTGGGATGTGGTGGAACGTGAGAATCCCATCATAGACATGCAGCGATCATATCAATATGGCCCCAAAGGACTAGCAAGATGTTCCTAATAAAGAATATAGTGAGTGCATATCAAGAATAATTTTTTTATATTGTAAACATCTCACTTTTCATGAGACAACATACCGTACACAGTAAGCCATGTCAAAGAAAGTCAAGCTAGTGTTACATTTACCTTTCAAAAATCAATTCTTTGCTCACAGAGATTTATGATTTAGATGAATGAAAACAAACATGAAAAAGTATTACATGTTGCAGTGGTGATCTTTTTCACTGCCGGGCTGTGGCATGCTAGTTTCACTTCAATTATGTGCACTTAATGTCATCATTTCACCATTAAACGTTTTTTCAGTGAGGTGAAATATTCATGGCGTAATAATAATAATAATAATAATAATAACTGTGATCTCAATAGTGACCAAAATATTCTCAAGCGTTCTTTCTGCAGCTCAGCTGTGTTGACTTTTCAGGAAGTTTGCAGCGTGAGCTTTTACCTCTAATACCTGTTGCTCTCAATCAGCTCCCAAATAAAAAATACAATCAATGGCAACAATTTGCAGTTACAAACAGTGTTGGTCAAGTTACTTGAAAAAAGTAATAAGTAACTAATTATTGATTACTTCCCCCAAAAAGTAATCCCGTTACTTTACTGATTACTTATTTTCAAAAGTAATTAATTACTTAGTTACTTTTTAAAAACACGATTTACAACCTGAATAGGTGATAAAG